CCTGACATTCTGTGATTTTGTGAAACAGAGGAGCAGAAACCCAAGGAGACAGAGCAAATATTCAGAGGAACTGAAGCTAATGGATAGAAGCCCTGAGAGATACTACTTTTCTCTAAAGTGCTGGCTGAAAAAACCCAACTTGGATCTATGAGTAAAGAAACTTTTGTTGTTTTTTTTTTTCATGGAAATGGTACATTGTCCATTCTTTTTTAAATAAACAAAGTTGCAACACAGTGTTCTCCAAAGAAGAACTTTCCTGAAAGTTACAGCAAATCAGCTTTGAAAATAAGTACGTTAAAATTGCATGAAACTTCGTGAGATCTCATTTCTTAAAAACTAAAGAGGCAGTAACTTGGTGTAGGGACACAAAAAAAGCAGACATAAAGTTAAAATATAACTTTGAAGCAAAATATCCTGAGACATATTTAAAACCATTTAAAAAATCCTTATCTTTTCTTGATTTGGATTAACTACTACAAGTGATGTGTGCAGACAAGCACCATCTTATCTTACCCATCATTCATTTTCCTTCATAGCTAGAAAATTTGCAAGATCTCGAATTTTGAATAACCACTCAAAAAACCAAAAAAGATAGCCATCTGCCAAGAAATACATTCTGAAACTGCAGTTTACATGTGGGAGTAATAAATTAATGAAAAGAAAGCTCATTTTGCTTGTACAGCATTAGAGTCTGCATTTATTATATTGTAACAACATTCAATAAGAAGCAAGATAACTATTTAACCTACAAGGACAAACCATTCTGTCACATATAAAGTTTCCAAACTTTGTAACTGATAACAGTGAAAATCCTTTTGTGATCTCACACTAGAACCAACATTCCCATTTAGAAGTAAAATAAAAGTACACAGGAACTTTCCCAGCTGCCTAGGACCCAGTATATGTCTCAGTAAATAGCACCATCTTTTAAGAAACAGTTGGCCTAATGTAGCCACAGTACATCTACAGAAATAACAATTTTAGTTCATATTTTTAAAAATCTGAAAAAATCTCAGTAGAAGTGGTTGAAGCTTCTCAGAAGAAAAATATGTACACAAATTGGTTTTTAACAGATTATCTTTTTGTAGATTTATTTTCTATTTAAATATTAAAACAGGACCAGAAATTGCATCCTCCTTACCCTTTCTGTTCTTTTCAGGACTAAAATAGGAGAAAGGAAAAAGAAAGAGAAAAGTGGAAGTCCTTAATAAACCAGTGTTGCTATACTGGGTAAGACTCATGGTCTTCAATGGCAAATATCCTTTTTCTGACAGAGCAAGACTTGGACACTGACAAGATTAATACAGTTCACAGCTACCACCACTACTTTGTATGAACAATAAATTTACATACCTGGAAAAACATTATCAAGATACCAAGAAAGTATTCCATAGAGAAAAGCATCAAAAAGCATCATTTTAATGGAAAAAAGAAAACTATATTCATCTCCTTCCAAGGGACTGGTTCTGATGTTACCCCATTGTAGGCCAAGACCTTGCTCTTCATAGCGTGACAAGTATTCTGTACCAAAACCAAAAGCTACTTGAGAAAGCAAACTCTGGAATAAAGCAAAAATGACATCAACTCAGACAGAGGGACATTTTGTAAAGTAAGCACAAAAAAAGATGACCTTCAGGGACTGGACTTCAAAGCTTGACAACGCCTAATAAATGATCAGGGAAAAGTGGTTTCACTTGTATATTCAGCTAGGATGTTTAGACTAAGTTCAATCTCAGCTGTCCTTTCTTTAGCTACTAGGCAATACTAATAGCTTGTTTTTTTTCATTAACATGTCGGTGCAGAAAATACTACGAATGCTTCTGGAAGTTTGCAGTGTACACCTTTGCCTATCTTGGAGAAACAAAATATTTCCTGAGTGTATGGGGTAGGGCCACTATGAGCAACAAGACAGAAAGTAGACCAGATGCTCAGGATAAGGAAAACCACAACCATCCCCTCCCCTGTGGTGTCTGCTGCCTGCTTCTCACTCAAGAAAATAATAAACCAGTATAATATCCAAACATCCTCTTCAATATTGCATTGCAAAAACAGAGTAAGAATAATATAGTGCTCTTTGCCAGACCTTTGGGAAAGGATGGCACAAGACGGCTCCCAATAGCAACTCTCAGCGAGGCACTACCATGGTGTGCTAAGTAAATTCAGAGACTAAACTTTGAATAACAAATGTAAGACCAAACATATCAAGAACAGAAAAAAAATATTCATGGCTTCTGGCTAGCAAATATGCTTTCTTATAGGGATGCCCTGTCCTCCACTTTAGGGTCAGAGTTGTCTCTTTATGCTTAGCCTGTGTGTTAGCATCAAGACTCCTTCTGAAATCAGAATCTCTCAGAGGCCAGCTCTACTCATTTCCTGACTTAACGACAGGATCAAGTTTCACACTTTATTGCCTTAACTGGTTGAACTAAAAATGGTATATACTACATCTGTATATCACATCAGTTAAGAAAGCTGATTCATAGTCATATTTACACTCTGTTATAACTTTTGAAGCGTTTTTGTTTTCTTTTTTCATTAGATTTCCTAATGCAAGAGCAGAAGACAGTACTTAGCTTTTACGTAGCTTGTGAGAATGCTCAGCAAAGATGAGAGGCTGAATTCAAACACCCGTGGCCCTTCCTGATTGATTGGTCAACAGAACATTAATCTGAATAATTTTCTAAGTTCACAATTCCATTTCTGAAAATGGCACTGGATCGAGAATGCCTACAACTTCTTAGATGGAAGTTGTCTCTCAGAGAATGATTGTGATTCTGAGGTATTCTCATCCTTAGATATTACCCTGTTAACTAGGTTATAGCATATGAGAAAGAGAACTGTCCCCATTTTGTGAACTGCCTGTGCATTTATTAAACATACGAGAAGTTAAGTTTGCTCTGACTTATAAGGAAATGTTCAGAACTTTTTGAACAATATGTTAATTTCCTTGCATTGAAAAAGTAAAATAAAATTTACTGAATTTTCTAAAATCCATGAGAATATCTCTTGGTTACTAGGCCTGCTAAAGGTTTCCTCACTTGCATTCCCTAATTATTTGAGGCAGATTCAGACGTCTCCCTCTCTGAATCACAAAAGGAGAGAGGAAGAGGTGTGCCTTGCTCTGTTACTCACACATGCACAGTGAGAAGTGCAACCAAAATTTGAGCCCAAACATACCCTACAATTAATGAAAGGCTTACCGCTAAGATCTTCAGATTAACAGTCAGGCGGTCTTGCCAGACAAAGCAGACAACGTGCGGCAGGTACAAGGTGAAGTAGATGACTCCACTGCAGGCAGCTGCCAGATTTGCTTTGGAGAAGAAGGTGCTGAACAAGAAACATTGCATTATGGTGGCTGTGGTGAACGTCAGCAAGAAGAAAAAGAAGAGAAGTGGATTGCTATAATGTAGTACTCGTCCACACTGTCAGCAAAAGGAAAACAGAAAAATTTAGAAGCATTGCCACTTTCTGAACTATGAGAAGTAGTCACAATTGCCATTAACATGTAACGCAAGTCATAAGCCACTCTTTCTTACCTAATATAACATCTAACTATTCCAGTCAGTAATTTTTCAACACCTTAGGTCATTACAACAACAAACGCTTCATCTAGCTTTATCCTTGCTCCTGGATTGTGACTTCAGGCCAGTACAATTGTACAGCAATTAATATTCATATTTGATGACTGAATTAAGATCATAACTGATATAAAAACAGACATTCTGTCCTTGTCTCAATAAGCAAATGATTTCAAGTAAGATGGGCTTGCTTGGAAATTCATACATTTTAAATAAAGCTATTTGAACTATTGTTAAAAATTTTCATTGACCTCATCTCCCAGTCTACTTGCTCCATGTTCAGGGAAAGCAATGTAAGGAAGCCTAACAAAATGCATCTTACAAAAACAAGAACAAAACTCCCAACAATAAAAATCAGGAAAGTTATAAAGCTTCTGCACCTAAATCACATTCAAACTCCAGAAGGGTATCACAGCTGAGGAATCCAAGTGCAATTTCTCAGAGATACTTGTGTACTATCTAACCCACCGGGTGAATTTTTATTGACCCTTCCTCCTTAGACCTTTTGTAGATTAAACACTCGTTCTGAGGAAGAGCATGGACTGCTGCTGATTATCTATTTACTCCTAAAAAACAACGTGGAGACATATTTACTATGTTCAACTTTGTTTTGAGCCTTATAAAAGCCTCAGATAGGTCTATAAGGATATAAATGGGTGTCAACAATGTTGCAACATCCCACTGGGCCTCTGAGACCAATTTCTTTATCAACAGTGAAACAATCTCTCATAAGAATGTATTTACAAAGGTGCCACACACTGGCACAGTGAAATCCAGGAAAGGAAGTGAATTATAGGTATAAACATGCTTCCCCCTAGTATTAACTACCTCCTGATTTTTAATTAAACCAGTGCAGCAAATAAAGTAAGCCTTTTCTATCCACCCAAGCTGTAATGGAAGCATAAGGAAATGGAACAACTCATCAGGGCAGGCTGACAAGACAGAGCGAATCGAACCCTAGCCATGCATTTATAATAGTATCAGTTTCCCACATCAGAAAAAACGCAAGGGCAGTCTTCCTTATCAGAATGCTATAGATTTATATAACTAAATATAGCAGCAAACAGGAGCTTGGTTCTCAGATAACAGAGATGAAAGATAGTCCTTAGACACAACATCCAGCCTGTGAAAGAAAGTTACAAATTTACAGCAATTCTGAGTCACAGATGCAAAAGGGTGTTGTTTTTTTCTTTTCAGGCTCAATGTCCTCAATATTCTGTCATTGCAGTCTCTTTTCCCCTTGAAATAGCAGCATAATTTCTAAGCAGGCAAGCACAGAATGTTACAAATAAAAGCCATAGCAAATTACAAGATTAAAATTCTTCAAATTACGATTCCTTCTATTTAAAACAACAACTACCATTTATTGGGAAATCTGCTTCTGTCTACATGAAATAACAATATATGGAGTAATCAGCTTGATGTATTGTTCTGTGAGGGATCTCACAATAAATCTCACTAGCGAATCTATCTTTGTCTCTGCCAAGTGCCGATATTGTCATGAGGTCTGCTTAGAAGAACGCGTCTGCTCCATGCTGTGATCAGAACAGGCCACGAGCCACTCGCATC